ATATACGTGCGTCTCAGCGCTCAAGTTGTAGATATGTCCTTAGCAGCAACCCATTGTACTTATTTTTTGCGCTCTCAATAGTTCATAGCTCACTGCACCTATCCTTTGCGTTATGGTGTGTGTGTACAGTCTGTGTGTGCTATGTGATCTTGTAGGTATGTCTTTGGCAGTCCATTGTACCTACATTCATCTTGTGCACTGTTGTCGCTGCCGACAACTGGTGTGCCGAGGGGCGAGTGTCCCAATGGCCTATGGCCTTGCGCGGTGGGATGATCATGGACAGTTGACGCTGGATTAACATACCGTCGCAGTGATACTTAATTCACACATTAAGCCGCCAAAAATAAAAACTTATATTTTTGTAGGCCCGGATGAGCTCCTGAAACTCAACCCAAGACTTGTATATGCTCGCATCACCGGATACGGTCAAACTGGTAGGTAGACTATATCGAGGACAGTTTTTCAGTGAAAATAACTTATCAAGTGAAGATAAAGTATTCAGTGAAGAGGATTATAGTATTGTCTGGTGTTACACTTGCACACAAATATAGTATGGATTCATACGGGTGACAAACTACACAAGAGTATATATTAATACCTGATAAACTACACATGAATATATATATAAACCTGGTAAACTACACAGGAGTTTATATAAATACCTGGTAAACTACACATGAATATATATAAATACCTGGCAAACTACACACGAGTTTCTATAAATACCTGGTAAACTACACATGAGTATATACAAATACCTGGTAAACTACACATGAGAATATATAAATACCTGGTTGCCCGTACTATACTCACACTGGACTAGCATCGAGGCGCTCATGAACTCTAAATATAGATCCCACGTGTGTTTTGTGTAGGTATATAGTGTGTATGTATCATCATACGTACACATCTACTATTAAGAATGGACATATGTACTATCCGTTAATTGATTTGTTTACCCAACACACAGCCCCAGCCTTATGTTTTCATATTATATCCGTTCATGTCGTACACAGGTCCTATGTCGCTCATGGCCGGCCATGACATCAACTACTGCTCTATGTCAGGTAGGTAAATCGGGTGACGTCACCTCGTATTTGGGCACTCGTGCCGCGTGTAGTGGTTTTATTTTAGGACTGTGTTTTGTTTACGTCAATTGTCGATCTATTCCTTTTGCATAGGGGCCATTCGATAGTTTGAGCTTCCGTCGTATGTTGTTGGGGACGTGTGGTAGTGTTATATTATGTATATATATATATATATATTTAAATTTAAATTTATTTATTTATGTATATATTTATTTATTTATATACTTGCAGCACACTATCTATATCCTCGTGTGTGTACCATACAGGAATGCTATCCACCTTTGGTCGCGCTGGAAAGAACCCACATTTCCCGGGGAATCTGGCAGCTGATTTTGCCGGTGGTAGTATGATGGCGGTCAATGGCATCATGATGGCTCTGTTTGAGCGCAGCTCCTCTGGCAAGGGTCAAGTAGTGGATGTGAGCATGGTATGCAATACACCCATGTTTGACTGTGGATATAGTACAAAATTTCAGTATATGCGTATGGTAGCAGCGTTTTTGTATATTATGTCGGCGTATGGTTTTGTGCTTAGGTCTACCTTCAGTATTTATATATATATATATATATACATATTACTTATGTAAACATCTTATCAGCATATGTTCTTCGGCATATTTACATCATATCAGCGTATGTTTGTATGGTTTGCCCCATGAGGTTGGGAGTGCTCTCGCAGCTAATCTCATTCTATTGGCTCTGTTTGAGCGCAGCCATACGGCCAAGAAGCAAGTACTCCATTGTATCATTGCTTGCGTACACATAATATGGAGTGTATTCATATATGAAGGCAGGTGTATGTACGTATATATATATATATATGTAGATGTGAAAACAGGTTTATGCACGTATATAAATATATATGAAGACAGATGTGTGTACGTATATGTATTTATATGAAGACAGGTGTATGTACGTATATATATAAAGACAGATATATCTACGTATATGTATATATGAAGACAGGTGTATGTACGAATATAAGACTGGTGTATATATATATATATATATATATATGAAGACAGGTGTATGCACATATATATATGTATATGAAGACAGGCGTATGTACGTAT